GGGAACTTGACACATCACAATGTATCATATGGAAACACTGGTGGCAGAATGAGAGACAATGGCGGTGGAAACCACTCCCGATTGTGTACCGTCCGGTCACGGGCCAGCCTCTGCTACCTATGCACCACCCCACACAACACCCCCCTCCCTGTCTCTTATACACATCTAGATGTGTATAAGAGACAGGCCTTGCGGTGCGTGAATCTGGGCCGTCTATCTGGAAGCACCCGACAGCCTAGATTCGCCCGCGATCTTAAAAGGGGGAGGCCCTTGAGATATCATCTCATTGAGCTGACCGGCCCCGGGCAATTCAGAATTATCGTATTCTGTTCATCTGATCGGAACGGGATTCGAACTTGGGTCTGTATTTCAACAGTTCATTGTGCTGTCTCTTATACACATCTAGATGTGTATAAGAGACAGCTCTCTCTCTCTCTCTCACAAGCTCTCTCTCTCTGTGTGTGTGTGTGTGTGTGCCTGCCTGCCTGCCTATGTATGCTTTCACATCATGCGCATGAGAGATCATGTGTGTGGTTTGCCACCACATAGGTAGATTGATGTTTTTTTTTTACCTTAACGTAAGTAAGTTGATTCATTAAAATTTTAAAACACATGCAGAAAGAGAAGAGAAAACAAGAAGAGGTATATATGAATGTCAGAGAGGAGAAGAATAATGACAAAATGACAATTTCAGAATTTGGCGGGCGGGCTTTTTCAATTTGTGCAATTGAGAATAGGATCGAATGGTCTCCAACTGCTGCTCGTAACAGCTCCCTTCACATCCATTCTGCCAGCAATTGGGTAGTCAATCCTGCAATGACCAGGAAAAAAAGAACACAAAAAACAAATGAGATGCTCCCAATATCGAAAGACGTCACTAAACTAAGAAAAACTGCAAAAAAAAAAAAAGAGCGAGCGAGCGAGCGCACATGAGAGAGAGAGAGAGAGAGAGGAAGAGAGAGGATTGAACGATATAGAGACTGTCTCTTATACACATCTAGATGTGTATAAGAGACAGGTGCTGCAACTGGCACAGTCTCGTGTTCAAATAAAACAAGGGCCTGCCATGTCCGTGAAATCACAGGCCTGTGAGTGTGTGGTGAGTTCAAGGACGCTACAGCCCTGGAGGTGGGCTGGATATCACGACCGGTATGGATCCAGTTTTTATAA